TCCTGTAAGTGAGGCTTCCATGGCCTCTGTCCAGCCACTCACATAGGAGTGGCCGAACAGCCCCGACTGTCCGGTGCCCCGCGGTAGGCAGAGCCAACCGCTCTTGCCACGCGTGCACCACGGACTGCCGGGCCTGGCGCTTCAACTCGCCCCAAGCAGGTTCCTGCACACCCGGGACCGCCCCCACCCCCGCGCGACGGTCGACGCGGTGACGATACATCATCGCGTGCGACCGCGCGAGGAGATCCATGGGCGGCATCCCCGCAAGAACCGTCGCCGCCTCATGTGACACGGTCCGGTACCCGCGGACGACCCTTAGAGCCATCCGCCTCTGCACCCGACGCAGCATAGTCATGCCGCGCCGGGAGGCCGCCAGGTCGTCCGCCCAGACGGGGGCCCCGTATAGGACCACCGACTGAACCATTGCCACATAGAGGCGGCGAACTCGGCCCGCCGGGCCCCCCAGGTTGGGCAGAATCCGGCCCAAAGCCCCGACCATCCTCTCCAGCCGGGGGACCAGGCAGCGGAAATGCTCCTCGAAGCGCCAGTGGCTATCGAGGATCAGCCCCAGATACCTCATCTGGGGCTTCACCTCGATATTAGCCTCACCCACGCGGATCAGAGGGGGTGGCGGATCCTGCCGAGGTGAATGGAACGCTATCACCTCGGTCTTATGGACCGCCACCGTCATCCCCATCCCTCTGATCCGGTCGACGACGCGTTGCGCCCCCTCCTCCGCGAGACGCTTGGCCCTCCCCCAGTGCGCCCCGACGGCCAGCACCAGTGTGTCATCTGCATAACACACGGCGCTGACGCCGTCGGGGAGGTCGGCCCGCAACACTGCGTCGTACGCGATGTTCCACAGGAGTGGCCCGAGGACCGACCCCTGCGGAACACCGCAGTACACCTCCCTCCGCATATGCCCATCCCGGCTCGGATACTCGATCCACCTGCCGCGGAGATAATCCCCGATGACCGCCCCGAGACAAGGGGGGACCCGATGATATTCGAGCCCCCTCCTTATCTCCTCCCAGGGCAGGGTGTTAAAGGCGTTGGCAATATCCAAGGATATTGCCAAAGCCACCCCTCCCCGGGAGACGGCCGACTCCGAGAGGGCCCTGACACGACCTATCGCGTCGATGGTCGATCGACCCTCCCGGAAACCGTACTGGCAGTCGGCCAGGCCGGGGGCACCCCGCGACAGGTGCTCGACGAGGCGGGCAGCAATCACCCGCTCGAAGAGCTTGCCCACCTCGTCGAGGAGGCTTGCCCCCGGCCGGGCACACCATCCGGACCCGGGGCCGTGTTACGCGCCCCGAGCCGTCTGATGGCCGCGGCCAGCTCCCCCTGAGTGACCCCCAGTTCGGCCGCCCACTCCCTAGGGACTGCCGCCTCCACCGGAGGACGTGGTCCCCTCACCCGAATTGGGAAAAGAGTATTGACCACGTCCTCCAGCAGCCGGGGGTCAAGACCCTCGGTGACGGGGGGCGCCCACGGGCGGAGCTTCTTCAGCACCACCCTGTACGGGCGCCCCCAAGGATCGTCATCGAGGGTCTGGAGGAGATCCTTCCATGCCCGGGTCTTGGCCCGTTTGATGGCGACCTGCAGAGCAACCCGCGCCATCCGGTATGCCTCATACAGGTCATCTGCCCTCGCTCGCGCCACGCCATCGTCCGGTCGTAGACGACGGCGCGCGCGGGCGTACTGGCGTCGGGCGCGGACACTCGCGACCCGCAATTCCGCGATCGCGGCCGACCACCAGTACACCGCCCGGCGAGGAGAAGCTCGCCCGACCCGGGGCATCGACGCGTCGCAAATGTTTGCGACTAGTACCCCGAGCCGGGCAGCCTCCTCCTCCATGCTTGGCAACTCGGCCGCCACCTGCGGCCAAGTTGCAGCGAGGGCAGCTGCCATCAGGGCGTCCTTGTCCAGGCGCCGAAGCGCCCAGCGGCGCGGTGGGGTGCCATCCGGGCGGCGGTGCCGGGACGCAGCCCCGGCGGCAGAGACCTCCATCCGGATATACCGGTGATCGGAGAGTGTCTCTGCCTCCGGGGCCACCTGCCAACCCGACACCATGCGCACGGCGTTGGGGGTCGCGAATCCAACATCCACGATAGACCCCCCCATATCGCCGCACGCACGTGTGCTCCGACCCCCGGTTCAGTAACCGAAGGTCGAGCCCCGCCGCCCAGTCGCCCAGGATCCCGCCGCGAACGGTGGTCCTAGGGGATCCCCAAGCCACCGACTTGGCGTTAAAGTCCCCCAGGACCAGCACCGGCCGGGCCGCGCAGCGCTGCACGCATGCCGCGACCTCGGCCAAGTACAGCTCGAACGCGGCGTGACCGCTGCGGGGCGAGATGTAGCACCCCACTACGGCGACTCCCCCCCAGTCCACGGCGACGAAACCCCGACCGCGCTCCAGAATGGAGAACGGCGGGGACCCGTCGCCACCTCCCCATACCGTCGCCACCAAACCGTCCGCGTCGCCCACCCAATGTGGGTGATCAGGCACGCGGTACGGCTCGGCGGCGACCGCCAGGCCAACCCCCCACTCCGCGAGGACTTGGGACATCATGTCCTGTGCCGCGCGGCAGTGGTTGAGATTGGCCTGGAGGAGGAGGCGGGGCGCCGTTATTTAACGGCCGTCCCAGCCTCCTCCCGGCTGTCCGTCCCCGTGGCACCGTCCACCTCCATTGTGGACGCTGCCAGCGACCGCGGTGCCTGAACCGGGGTGGGCCCCTTCTTCTTCCCCTTCCGGGAGGGGGGAGAGCACTTTTTGCTCCCCACCCTGTGATCGGCTGGCCTCCCCATGTCCGCACATAGCGGGCAGTGGGGGGCCGCCGAGCACTGGCTCGCGCGGTGGTCATTCGCCCCGCAGCGGTAACACTGACCGCTGCGGTCCACCGGCGAGGTGCACCACTGCCTCACGTGCCCCAGCTCGAGGCAGCGGTGACACTGGAGTGGGCGCGGCGCGAGTATCTCCACTCGCGCCGAAACCCACCCCACCAATACCCTCCCGGATTCCGCCACCTTTCGGGCGGCGGAGAGGGGACACCGGGCCCACACCGACCCCAGGCCGGAAGGAGACCTGCGGATTTCTCCGACCCGCACGTCTCCCTCGGGGCAATCACCCGCCCTCGCTAGGGCACGGGACACCTCCTGCGCGGTGACCGAGTCGTCCAACCCACATATGCGCATCTCTGTGCGCTTCGTGGGCCGGGCGACTCGGACACCCCGCTCGCCCAGCTGCTCCTGGAGCCTCTGGGCGAGTCGGTCCGCCTTCTCGCCGCCCTCTGGACCAGGGATCTCCAGCAGGAGACCCCCGGTCACGGCCCTCTTCGCCCTCACGGAAGCGATGCCAAGCTCCTCCAGGGATATATTATCCCTGGCGAGCTGCATCGCCCCCGCGAGTGTCAGGTCGCCCCCCTGAGGAACGGTCAGCGTCACTGCTGCCGTTTTAGGGGGGCGCCCTGGTCGCACCTTCGCGGCCTTTCCCTTGGCCGCGGGCGGCGAGGTAGCAGGTCGCGGCTGCGAGGCCTTCCTCGCCGCCCTCTTCGCCTTCCGCCCTACCACCTCGCTCCACGACACCCCCCCTTGGGATGGTGCCGCGGAGGACGCGCGCACCGGGGCCGCGGGTACACTACCCCCCTGGGGGGCCGCGACCCGCGGCACCGGAACGGCCACGGTGGGTGGAGCCTTCCCTCCCCCCACCTTTGCCTTCCCCGCCTGAACCGACTTTGGTCGGGGAGGCACCGCCTTCTTGTTGCTGACCGCACCTCCGTGGAAGGCGGCCAGCTTACTATCCATCATGTTCCCGATCCTCCTCAGAAGTTCGTCCTCTGAGGAGAATGGGGAACTCTGCGCGGGCGGAGTGCGGGTGGAAGGTCCCCGCAACACCGCCGCCGCACTCCGCTTTTTTTCCACGACCGTGGGTCGTGGTGGTGGAGGTGGAGGAGGAGGGAGGATAGGAGGGAGGGCTGCGCTGTTCCAGCGCGCCTCTGCCCTCATCCTCCCCCGTCGCTCCTCCTCCATCTGGAGCTGCAGCCGGGCATTTCGCCCGCACAACTCCTGCGCCGCCTCCCCCATATTTTGCGCAGCCTCTCGCAGGGCCTCAGCCACGCTGCTTTTCTGCCCCTTTAGAGAGCAGGCTGCGGCAACCTTCTCGACCCGCCTCAGGGACGAGGAGATCCTCTCGGATATCTCCTCGGTTACCTCGTCCCTGAGGCAACTCACCATCACGACCGGGTTCATCGCCCGGTCCACTCCGTCGACGGCCTGCCCCGTCCGCTTCCTCTTGGAGCCTATGTGGCTCCTCGTGGAGGAGAAGGACGAGACTGACGCAGTCTCGTCGTCCTCCTCCACCTTCCACGAAGCCAGGCCAGGCGCTGAGTGAGGCGCGAGCACCGTCACTCCAGCCCCAGCACCGTCTTCGTCCTCCCCAACCGAAACAACCCGTCCCATCCCCGTTTTAATTTGTGAATCCATATAATTCCCACGCGTAGGTCGGAAATAAAGGTCCACCCGGGCAGAGCCGCCTTACCCGGGTAAGCCTAATACTCCGGGGGTTCGGCAGGTGCCCCGGAGGTGGTCGCTTGGGATTGGGCCTTCTCCCCCAACCATGCATCCCATCGCCGCGCACCATAGCTTAGGATTGGAGGGCGATTTTATAGAGTCGCCATACTCTTGGCCCAGGCGGTTAAGCCAAGGCCCCCGCTTCTCCTGCCGTCACGTACCATTCACAAAACCAAAAAAGGAATTGTGAGTGGATCGTTGTGACGACCAACAGGAGGCTTACGGTGTGATTAGCTTCAGGTACCTCGGGGTCGCTACGCCCCGTACTGCGGCCGACGATTGCCGGACACAGCCCCTGAGGGCACCTGTTGTCACCTCCTGCAAAAATCAAGCCCGCAGCAGTGGGAAGATCATTCCCATCTGCAATTAAAAGTTACCAGAACTGCAGTCGAACGTTTCTCGATCACACGAGAAACGTTCAATAATACAGTCCACTAGAACAGTTGCTTATCGCTGTGTAGGAATCCCGCTCCTGTTTATCATAAACAGAGTAAGGAGCGTGTGGATTGAAGCGAGTCAGACAACGCGACGAGTGTTGTCAAGTATTTACAGCCAAATTTCGGCCTCTTTTTGTTACAGAAGACCGAGAAGAGAGCCGTAGTGGCCAGACCACTGCCAGGTTTTTTTTTCCACGAGCCAGCCGCCAGGCTCGGGTATTTCCTGGCAAATTTTTAAACATTAAATTTAAATTTCTTTATTTTGTTTTATTTAATTTTGTTTTTTTTTTTCTTTTTTAAATTTTCAAATCTTAAATAAACGGCCTAGTCGATTCGACTAGGCGAAAGAAATTTATAAGTGTACCGATTCACTTTCCCCCACATTCCCACTCCCTCGTAATTCGGACTCCTCGTTAAAGGGTGAGAGCGACAACTCGCACCTATTTTAACAGTACCTTTAAAAATATTCGACTATGTCCTTTTAAAATTTAAGATCCAACCCATACTTTGTATTAAACTGGCAAACGGGATCACTTTTTCTTTGTTTATAGTTAGTTCTATTTAGTTCGTCATAACAAATTGATACGGTTATCTCAAAACAATCGAGGAAAATCATTATTAATTAATTTCTGCAATTATTAATTCTACTGTTTTGTTTATGTTATAAAAGTAAGAACTCTTCTTATTGAAAAATGCCACAGCGTGCACAATACTGGTAAAGAGTGGAATCTCATTTTAATTTATTAATTTTCAATCTTAAAGTATTTTGATTTTCAAAAATCGTATTAATAATATACATATGTGTGCTCATACATGGGAATAAAAAAAAATTTCTTTTTTTCAATAATTAAAATATGATCAGGAGGTCTTAAAACGTGTATTTCCGTAAAATAAATTTTACAAAATTTTTTTTTCATTATGGGTACTTTGCTTATGTGCGCCTACATAGGTCGGAAAGTAAAAATGCCTGGGCAGTCGAGAATCTCGGCTCGAGAATCCAAATCGTATGCCGTTGACGGGAGGTCGGATTTCAGTTGTTTAGAGCGAGAAGACAAATGTGAGCCTTTCTCTCTCGACTCCCACGAGGCGATCCGAAATTACTTCGGGCAGCTTCGGAGAATCGAGAAAGAGGACATGCGTCAGTTTGCCTTTGTCGACTTTCCGAAACTCCACGAGCTCACGTACGCGTATCTGGCATGTGTGCGTGTGCACCCGGCGGTGCTTTTCTGGCATCTCCCGCATCTCTGCATCCGACGGTGCTTTTCTGGCATCACTGGATGACTATAATGATATGAAATTTATTCAAATTTGAATTACTTTATAATACGGTTTATTAAACTGGCATAATTTTATAATAAAATATTTTTTACTTTAAAGTATTAGAATTTTAAATTATACTAAATAATTTACAAACAAATCTAATACATTAATATCTGTAAAATAAATTTTGGAAAACACTCTTAAATAAACCACTCATTGGCCACTCGGCCAATTATTATTTTTTAATGCAATTTATGTGACAGCTGTTGGCCACATTATCGTGTTTAAACTAAAGAGGTGAAGGGAGATCGAAATAAATGTTCTCCCATGCCCTTTTACACGTGCCTTGGCTTTAATACTGAATGATTACAATCAATAAAATAAAACGAAGATTTTCTCTCGATGCGTGCGGCACAATGGACTGCGGGAGAATGTCATCAATACATGTATAATGTGATGACATGCAGTTTCAAAGGTACGAATTATAATACGAATGTATTGAATGCACGAATAAATCGATAAAATTAAGGGTCATTTTATTAAAACATTAATTATATCATTTGTAACAATATATCATGTACATACGTATAGAATTTCGTGTTTGTTTAATAAGCATCGATGATCACTGTCATTTGTTATTACAAATTTTTTTGTTATATGTTTAAATTAAATATGGTTGTTCCAACTTATGACTAAAATAACATTTAGAAAAACGTTATTAAATTACGAAAGTTCATAACTTTCGTAAATAATAGTCACGCATTTTAATTTTTGTTATAGGTTAAGTTACTGTAATTTGAAGGCACATGATTGTTGTCAATATCAAACGTCACCAAATCTGTAACAAGTGTCTGCCTTAATTTTCCGTGAAAATGGCCTGGTTATCAGGCCTCGCTGACAAGGCAGAGAATTTGCTAAATAAAATAGATAAAAATACCGCAGCAGTTTTAAATAAAGATAAATATGAAGTAGCACAACCTCAATTAACAGAAGTTACATGGATTCCTCCTGAAACAGGGTAAAAAAGCCAATTATTAAACATTTGATGTTTACTTATATTTAATATTCAAATTAATTATGATATATTAAAGATGCTAAACCAAAGATTTATTAAGTATTGTTTGAAATAAAAATTAAATAATAATCTATATTTGTGTTTTATAGTCCTTCTAGCAACCAGCTAATTAAATCACATAAATGTATGTCACATATTTCAGTTTTAACGCTCAAGAAGGAACAACTTTGATGTCTGATTCAGAATCACCAAAACAATTTCCCTACATTCGTTCACTACCGAATCTGCCCTCATTGACAACAAATTCTATTACATCTAAAGACGAAGAACTTCTTACATTTTTAAATACACCTGACTCAAGCCCAAAGAAAAGTAGAGCAGAAATCTCAATGTCACCGTCAACATCTTCGTCGCTTATGACTATAGATTCTGTATCTGAATTGTCGATTCACAGTGGTCGTTCAAGTCCCAGTCTCATGCATACGTCTGTAGATGTTCCTGACGATTTGAATCAAAATGAAAATCCTTACAAGAATGAAGTAACACATACATTAAACAATGAAATAATAAGTGGTGAAACTTCAGGAATAACATTAGATAATGGTAAATAAATTCTCCGATTTTTCTCTATTTTTACGGATTTCAAACTTTAAGATAATTTTAATTTTATTTTAGAACAAAGCGTTGCTGAAAAACCACTTGACACAGCACAACAACTATACGAATACGAAGAAAAACAAGAAATTATGGACGTGAACAAATTCATAAATTCATCTCACAACAAAAATGTCAGAAAGTACTTAAAAGAAATAGAAAGAAATTTGGAGGAAAGGAATGAATTACTTGGAAAACAAGAGACAGATCACCAAAAAGAAATCATTGTATTAAATGAGAAATTACAATCTTTATATACAGAAAAAGTGCAATTATCCAAACAAGTAATAGAATTACAGTCTGCTTTAGAAAGGAGTAGATCAGAATTAAATTCTACTAGATCTGATTTAGAACAACACAAAGCTAGAGCTCTAAAAACGTTACAAGAAAAAGAAAAATTAATAACAGAGTTAAGAAGCAACGAATCTACAGGAATGGATGATACAACAATTATGGAACTGAATCAATTGAGGTAAATCTAGCGAGATACCAAAAATAAATGTTTAATTAATTATTTCTCAATTTGTATTGTATTAAATTATAGGCAAGAACGTGATACGCTCAGAGAAGAAAATCAACAGATTTCCGAGCAATTGAGAATTGTGCGCGAAGAATTAATGAATGCTGATGTGAATTTAGAAAAAATGAGACAAAAGTCTACTGAAGCAAATATACAAACTCAGGAAATTGTTACGACAGAAAGGCGAAAAAGATTAGATGCGGAAGAAGATGCAAAATTGCATTCAGAAGTACACTAACAATACATAGTAATCAGTTGTGTGATTTCTAGTTGTATGTAACAAAATCAGTTAATGCTAATTTTGTTTTAGGAAATAAGATCGCTGAAAGATGAGCTAATTCGTCAACGTAATAGTTACACTAAACAATTGCAAAAGAACGAATCTGAAATTGCTAAATTTAGGATGCAATTATCTGCGATAGCAACACCGAATAGCGAAATAGAGTCGAGATTGGCAACTCTCACACAAACATTGGTTTCGAAACAGCAAGCTTTGGAAAATTTAACAACTGAAAGAAATGCTTTAAGACTACAGCTAGAAAAGATTGAAGTAAGTTAATATACTTTTGAAATAATAATTGGAATAATAGCTTGCTTGTGAAACCCATTATAATTTTACGACGAGCTTTATATATTTATATAACGTTTTTGATCATTATTTTAATCCTTTTCGGTGACAAAATTTCTATGATAATAATAAAATTATAAAACAGTAATAAAAAAAAATAATAAACATGTAACGTTTTAATTAGTATACATAAAAAATACTATAAAAATTTGATATGTCCGATTTTTGTACAGGATGTATAAAAATTATATGTCACAATCACTATAGCCAGATTCTACACCTCTAGATCGGTGGAGATTTTGAAAAACAAGGTCAAATTTTTTATTATCCTATCGTATAGTACTCGTCGAGGGGAACAAAAGCCTCAAAGGGACCATGGGTCTCGAATCAGCCGTTCTCTTAAAAAACGATGCTAAAGTTCCATGTAATTTCTAGAATAATTTTATTGTTATAGTGTGATTATATTTGCATGTTTCCAAAGTATATAGATAGTAGACGCATAGACGGATTACTATCGCATGTAAACACCGCAGTAATGATCAGTCTCTTAGTGCCTTGTTGATATTAAGATAAGATGGTTCGCTATAGAAATATTCGAAACATGCTTCGTACTGTTGACGAAGCAGCAGGAAATTATTCTTTAGCTCTGGAAATATTAGGTGTACAAATGAATAATCCAATTTTTTCAGCCACATTCAATGTTTATTTTAAAGGAAAGTAAATTGAACTGTTCCATCAAAGTATTCGCCATTACTTTCTATAACTTTAAGCCATCTTTCAGGCAGCTGATGAATTCCATCTCACGTAGACGTTTGAAAATCGTTTGCTGGGTTACTCCTAACTGTTCTGCAAGTTCTTTTTGCGTTTGTGCCGCATTCTTAGCGAGCAGTTGTTCCAAATCATCGTTGTCGCACTTCCGAGGGCCTTCAGGGCGTTGTTTGTCGATTAGATTCAAATCACCGCTTTTGAACCGCATAAACCAAAATGCGCACGCATCTCATCATACGATGAGACCATCATGATCAGAGAAAGGAACAAATCGATTCGCGTGCTCTTGCAGCATTTTTCCCTTGTTGGAATTCGTAAAGAATGCAGTGTTGGATATGCACATTATCTGTTGCCATTTTCGACTCTACTGGATTGAATACTTTTGAAGGTTATGTTGGGTCTTTCACTAAACTATCTTTTGTTTTAACTAGCTATATGTCAACACTATATGACCGCAAAATAGCGGGGAAATCTATTAACTTTAAACTTGATTTTATAACTGCTTAAGATAATTTGGATTATTCATTTGTATACCTAATGTATCGCAGTGAGGAATAATAATGGAAGGACGCTGCGTGCAGCAGAAGTGCCAAATCGGCGAGATTTTCAACGGTTAAATCAACAATTTAGTGATCAAGAAATTATATTACGTTATTATTCTACACATCGGGGAGCAGGCCTACCCCGTATCCATTGGCGTAAAGAGGAACAGGTTATTGCTCTCGCTCGTTCATATCCAGTAATGGACTTGCGGAGAATAGCTCGTCAAGTAGAAATCAATCATATGATGGTGAGACGAATAATCCGTGAAGAGGGTTTACAACCTTATAAAATTCGCCACGTTCAAGCACATAAACAAAATGATCATGTCGCTTGACGAAATTTTTGTCGTGGGATGCTCCATAAGTTGCAACGTGAACCACATTTTTTAGAAAATGTGTTGTTCACAGATGAAAGCAGTTTTTTGAGAAGCAGCATTCTGAATCGACAAAATGCGAGATTTTGGGCTTACGGAAATCCCCACGCAATAATTGAAAGGTTCAATCAAGGACGTTTCTCAATCAACGTATTGGCTGGAATAATTGGAAATCACATTATTGGCCCAATTTATTTGCTTACATCATTACCAAGTGCAACATATCTGCGATTTCTACAAACTCGTTTCTTGAAAGAACTACGTCAAGTTATACTACGATACAAACGTCATTCCATCTATTTCATGCACGATGGTGCTCTTCGTCATTATGGGTGAGCGGTTCGACAATTTTTGGAACACGTTGGATAGGACACAGACCTGCTCCACATTTTTGGCCTCCTTGTTCTCCAGATTTGACACCACCGGACTGTTTTCTTTGGGAAGCAGTAAAAGAAATCGTTTACCATTCAGACCAGGAGCTTCGAACTGTGGAACAATTAAAACATAAAATTGAACAAGCTTTTCAACATCTTCGATTAATTTTGAACATTGGACAAAAAATAAGAAGGAATATAAAAATGAGACTGAAAAACTGCCTAGACCAAAATGGCGGCCGCATCGAGGCTGGAGCATAAGCACGACTGTTACGACTAATATGTCAAAATGGTGCTGTTCTATGGATTCGGCGAAGAAACTAAGTATGTCCAAAATATAATATTGTAGGCCCGAAACACAGATACAGTATAAAAAAATAGTTTAATGTTCATAAAATTTTTCATAAGATTTTTTGTAGTGCCATCCAACGAAAAAGTCGAGTGGTATCAAATTTGGAGAACGAGGAGGTTACAAGTGTGCAGCAGGTCTACATCTTATTCATCGCGTTTCAAACATTCCATGAGAACATTTCATGGTCACGCATGAAGTAAATGATGGTGAAGTTATACGAGCATTAGAAATAAAGTGTTTATAAGCCATCGTAATTTTAACATCATTTTTCAAGAGAACGGCTGACTTGAGACCCATGGTTCCTTTGAGGCTTTTGTTCCTCTCGGCGAGTATCACACGATAGGATAATAAAAAATTTGACCTTGCTTTTCAAGGTCAAGGTCAATTTTGCGATCCATTTCTTAAACAGATCTTCACCAATCTAGAGGTGTAGAATCCAGCTTTAGTGATCGTGACATATAATTTTTATACACCCTGTACACAGTCGACCCTCGAATAACATGATAGTGTTATATGAAATATGGGTCGCAATTATGTATTTTTACGATAAGTAGTATTCATTTTTAATGAACATTAATGTCTATTCTTATTTTCACAGCATGAATTTAGAAACAGTCGACGTAATGTTTCATATAATATAAATGATACAGACGATGCAAAGGCTCAAGTTCCGACATTTTTAATGGAAACTCCATTTGATACTGGGGTTACTAGAAGAGTAAAAAGAGCATATTCTTTGTTAGATGCAATTAGTATCCGTACAGGGGTATTTTTAAGAAGATATCCGCTTGCAAGGATTTTAGTATTGTTTTACATGGTAAGTATTAATAGTTCTAACAGTTTAGTTGTCCCTTGAAGTGTGTGAGATTTTGGAATGCCGATATATGCGTAATTTTGAGACTCCCATTCCTCACCCCTCTCTTCAAATCTCTATTAACCGGAAATGAGAATATAAGAGTTAAAGAAAAAAGAAATTATTCGGGAACTCGTAAGGAAGAACAAGAAAATACATACATACGTTATATGTGATACACATATACACGCATATTGGGTCTGGGAAAAAGTTCGTAGCGTTTTTCCCGATAGACAGAGATAAATAGATAGATAGAGATAATTGCAAATAACTCAGGAAACACAGATCGCAGCGACACCACTAAACGCTCGTTGGGAAAGTGACACCTCGAGCGTTAATTGAGTGTATAAACATCGAAATTTGTGCAGTGGTTAGAAAGTTGTTTGCGTTTGAAAATCAAGAAAAGTAATGAAAAATTGCACTATATTTTGCAATATTATTACGACTAAGGGAAGAACGCTGTGCAGGTTTGTGAAAAAATTTGTGCTGTGTACGGTAAAGGTACTTCGAAAAACGTCCCAGGAGACTTCTAGTCAGCCAAATACAATGTGTTTGTTACGTACTATTTCTAGGTTATTATTTGTACTTTGTGAAGGTACGTTATAATTATGGTTTACATTTACATCTCTTTTTACATTCCTTTAAAAATATTTTTCTAAAGTACCAATCCTTCTTCCATACCTTGTTTTAATTTTAATGCACGTATTATTGAAGGTTCTATATCAGTGGTTCTTAATATGTGGTTCGTAGACCCAAAGGGTGTCCGTAGGTAGATATCTAAACATTCGCGAATTTACATATAGAAATTTTAAACATTTTTTTTCGTGGCATATGTCTTTTACTATGTTTACAGAGAAATCACAAGTTTTCTTAGTTAAGTTATTAATATAGAGGAAAAGCATGCATTTGGAGGGACAACTATAATATTAAAGTTAAACTTTAAACAAAGATATTGATTGATATAGATTGACTACTAAAATCAAACAATTTATGATGTAATATATTTTTTGCAGGCGTTACTTCAATTTTGGGTATTTGTAGTTCTTCTATCACAATCACCAGAAGCACATTAATATTTGATATTTGCAATATAAGAGAGCATAATTTTATTAAATCATGCGTTAGGTATGGATAGAAGATTAATGTAAATATAGTATTGAGATGGTATGCATAGAGTATTGTTATGTGATTGATAATTATGTTTACGAATCTTTAATACTCGCTTCAAACTGCTATTAGGTGTATTATACAATATTAGAAAGTTATTAGATACATAAGCTAATACATTTGAACGATATAGATTTACAATAAATACCATTTGCGAGGTGTTTCATTTCAACTTATTTAGTATATCTCTTTGTATGAAATTATTATTAATATGGGTCAAAAAATGTACATTTACTGTTAATAATGGATAAAATATTCTTATTTATTCAAATCATCGTTTATTTTTCCACTATACAGAAACGTATTATAATATTATAAAGGTGATGAATATAATGTATTTGATTAAATTTATCCTAAGGAAAAGAATAAATAAATAAATAATACATCGTTTTATTTTTTTATATGAAATACTTTAAGAGACAAACACTCTTTATTTTTTACATTTAATGACACGAATAATATTACATGTCACGCCAGAATTTTGTAGTAATTGTAAATGATTCATAAGGATATTGCAGTAAGAAGCAATAATATTAAGTTGAAGAATAATACAAGTTTATTATTCTTTTATGACAATTGTACTTCCGAAATTTTTATTAACTTTTTATTAATACAAGTTTAAGTAAGTTTAGTCGAAAGTTTAGTTTCCATGAATTAATATCGGTAATACTATGGAATCAAATGTGGTCACAGGATTATCTTTGTAAAATGTTAAAAGAATTAGTACTAACAATTTGTAGTAGTTGAGATCATTTTAATTAACATTCATGGTGAAATGCCAAATATATTTCTACTCATGGTCATTGAGAGGTAAATCCCATTATAGTGATACAAGTTAATGAATAGTTTCCCATTTGTCCCAGTGGCCAAGTATGTTTATGTTTCCTAATGTACCGTGTTATCTCTACTTAACTTGTACTTTCTGGAAAAAACAAAATAGACGGGATTTCCTGAAAGGAATACCATAAGAAAAGAGAAGGTAATTTGTGATGTCGCTCATAATTGGAGAAGAAGCCTTAAGCAGTAAAAATATTTGGCAATGACATAAAAAATCAATTTTACACGTCTTTTATATGTATCTTTACAAAACACAGAAGCACCTATATATACTGTATTATATACTATTATATAATGTATGATTGTTAATATTTGATTTGGTTCAATCTTATTGTTAGGAGTTATACTATACTGAAAGAAAAAAAGTAATTTGATATGCTAAGAAATAGAGGCGTGCAAACAAAGACTCGGATAAGTTACTTAAAAAAATTTTTAAGAATGCTTGATTTTTATATTAACTATTTGTTTTCTCCAAGCGGAAAAGAAATTCACCATTTTTTATGTAAAATAATTTCAAATTTATTTCCACGCCTCTATTAAGAATCTTGAAATTACTACAATGTTAAACAAATTAATCCAAAATCTACAGAAACTTAATATTATTTTACAAAGTTACGGCGGTCAATTTTATTTAACCTCTTGCGGTAATGCAATACGAAGTTTCATTCGCTACTCTACTTACTGCACGTAATTTAAATAATGCTTAAGTGAATAAGTTACAACTATGTGTATTGCTCTAGTAACTGGGAGATAGTATATGCATATGTATGTACATGCTCCTTAGGCACAAGTTTTGTGATTAAATCCTTAACCAAACAAAGGCCAATGTTCTTTTAATTTAAATAAAACAAATAAAGGCAATGAACTAGAAAATTGTCTTTGTTATGTTAAAGAATAAAGCAATACATTCATCTTATGATAAAAGATATTATTTCGTTCTCTGAATCTTGTACCAAATACATTTACCTCTATAAAGAGGCATGTAATTTTTAAGCTTTCTCTACAAAATGGAACCATTTCAAAATAGTAAATGTTGAAGATTATTTTAAGACTAGTCTCCTTTCATTTATACCAACTTTTTTCTCTTCTCTAGTATTCATTTTTTTCAAACACCCCTTTCTTCGGGAAGATTCAAAGAGTAAAATGACATTCTCTATTTTGGGATGATATACCACTTTTATTGTGATTGGTAGAACGTGATCAATAAATTGAATGGGAAAATTAAAGATAACTTTTAAATGGAAAAATATTGATAAGCAATATTCATGATAGTAGACTATTTAAACACACTGAAACAACAAGTATGTGTTAAAAGGAGTTATTATCACATATATATGTATAGTCCAGCACAAAATTTCTAAACTATATTTTTAAAATACTTCATGATTATCATACAATCACAAATTACTTTACAAATGCTGGATTAGCATTGCTTTTACGTTCGATTTTTACGTGAATTATATTGAAAAATATATATATATATCACCCATGATTGATAAATACAGAGATTTATTAGTTGAACAATATTTATATCAAACCTCTCTCGACGGTACACTAACTTTTACATTTTGTAAATACTGCATTTATAAAGAGGATAGTAAATGCGTATAAATTGTAAAATCGAATATATATAACATATTGATTGTTCTACTTGATGCCTTTAGATTGGAACAAATTAATGTCAACAAAAGCATAAACTATTTTTTTTAGTTTTATTAATAAGTCTACGAAGTTAAAAAATATCTTTTTTGAACTATGATGTTTTTGAAACTGCATTTTTCTACCTTTAAATCAATATTATTATTCGCACAACATTACCTATAAATAAATTAGAAACAAACAATTATCTTATACATAGTATAATCCATTTGTAAATACCTTTCCGTAATGTTTCAATACCAATTAAATAAGCAAGAAAATTTAGAAAAATTGTTGTATGCAAGTTAAAAAGGTTATATTACTAATTATGTGCAATATAATTATTAATTCCTTAATATATTCGTTTAATCGAAAACGTTCGATTGTTTAAAGATACTTTTTGTTCAAAAAGATACGCAACTTTTCATTTATGAGAGTGTTTCTTCTAGCAAAAAAACATTGTTCCGCAAATAAGAGAGAGACAGAAAGAGAGAGAGAAAAAGGTAAAATTACATGTGCAAATACCAAATTTCACAGCCATGAATTTGCAGAGCAATTTAGTTCACATTGGCTCACGAATAAATAAATGTTAGAAGAAAATTTCGACGTGAGAGTCAAATCGATATAATTTTGCATTTTACCGAATAAAATACATTTATGCTAATGCTCTGCCATCAATGGACCCCATAATCAAAATATGAATATTTAATGTTACTAATTAATTCTGATAATTCCACTTAGCACGCCACAGTATATTACAAATTACGTTGTTCGGATACGATGTTTTTTTTTTTTAGTCTTTTACACAACTATATCACTGATACATAAGCTTCTTCAATTCGAATACTATCATTAACCATTTGATAGTTCTTATTCTAAACATCGAGTCAGTACAACGCAATTCTTTTTGCAGTTTTTTTCTTCATAAAAATTAAATGGATAGAGTTCACAGACTACTGATGTTTCTTTTTTGCAAAGAAAAAACTAGCTTGACGTTTTCAATGAATTCAGTGAAATCTGCTTGAGAAAATGATTTTTTTCGATCGATCTACTATACATTACATACAATTTTATACAATCTTTTCTTGAAATTCTACTTTTTATTTCTATAAGTTCCATAGGTCGAATCTTTAGCAAACATGATATGCAAAACTAAATGACAAACCCCAATCTTTATTTATAGGCATATTAATTGTTATAAAATATAATGCACGTTTAAAGGGGTATTAAAATTTATTCTATATCTCAAAATTAAGAAAAGATCACAATAAATGTGGATTTACAAAATGCATATTTTTTAAATGTTTGTTCCACTTGTAATGTTACTTATTAGTATCTAATCCAAGTGACTCGATCGATCGAATTTTATATCTTGTGTTAACAGCAGATTTGCTAAAAAATTATTGTTAAATTTCTTTTTATTTGTTCCAGTTTCTTATGCTAACTCCGAAGCTACTTTATATGTATACAACTTTGCCAGTATATCCTATAGGATTAAGAAAAAACTATTATATAAACATAGGTTATTTAAAGTTTTATTAAAAAGTTAAGACAAAAATACGAAATTCAAAGGGAGTAGTGGACATATTGATAGTATTGGGAACAGTATTGTATACTGCGATAGAATGTAAGAACAGATCAGTAATTTTACATTTAGCCTGTTTATGAGAGTTGTATTTATTATACGAGGTTGTCATACTACTGTGAAGAACTATCAACTGTCATGTTTGAAACTATTTTAGTCACCTAGATCACCCAATTCTGTGTCATTTAACTTTTATCTGTGGGGAACTTTAAAAGTAAAAGTGAATTAAATAAGAATAAATACACATAAATTCACATAATGAATTGTTATGAAAACTTAATAATATACTTATTGTTAATCAAATGCTACAAAATAAAAATGAAATTTGTAGGGTAACAAATACAATTTTCGACTGCTGTTAATCTTGTACTGTCAAGTACTGTGAGTATTTTAGAACGGAGTTTTAATTATTTTTCTAAATATTAAAAGTATCGTACCTACATTCTTTGAAGACTTCAGACAGTAAACATACCTCGTATAAACATTGTATCGTAATAATTGTAAGTTCGATACTGTTCCCTTAGTATTTCGTATTTTTTTTCATAATTGTTTAATAAAACTTTGAAAGACTATAGAACATACTGACAAAGTTTGATCATTAAAACCTGAAACAACCTGTATAATTCGTGCTTCGATTTAAAGTGATCGTACTTTAGTTATAACTAGTTTGTTGATCCACGTTTATTTAAACATTGTTCTTACGTTTGAGATGTAGAATACGCTTGTAAATTTTGTAATAACTTGTTAGACTCGGCTTAATCCGACTATAATAATTTCAACGATTTCTACGCGGAACGATAAAAACGAAACTTCCTTTGTATTTAACATATAACATTGCAACTCTATTCTACAGTATCCAAATCCTCTCGTTTCTTCTTTCCCCTCTATTTTCGCTAATTAACCTTCTTCAGCGGATGCAGGTTCATTTTGACTAGATCGTGCTTATTTCTTAGAAAATTTTTCCTTAAAAGCAAGGCCATGCCCAGCATATTTTGAAGCTCAACGCAATAATTCAAAAATGAAATATTAAATATCTTTATAAATAATGAGCATGTGCAGAAAAGTTCGAATATGTGTTTACTTATTTTTTCTTGTAAGTAGATACACATACACTACCATCTTCAATTAATTGTCATATGTTCGTTTGATAGAAGAATAAGGCATTTAGGGGCACGTGCCCCTTCTGTTCCTGCTTGTCACGGTCCTGTTTAGACGAATCACACAGAAACAACAAAGAGCTTACTTTCCAACTGTGTCTCTATCTAACTTTTGGCAAACTTACGACTTTTCAAAGCATTCTGCAAAGGCAGTAATTTTATCATAATTATAAGTTACACTATGCAATAAGGCTCAAGGCATTGAGATTAGTGTTCGTGGTTTTGTTACACAACTTCGGACAAAAAATTTAATTCTAAGATTCTTGTTTCTATTCATAGAATTCTATGAAACATAAATAAAAAATATTTCTTCATGAATTGGTAAAATAAATATTTTCAGATAACAGTGAAAGATGTGTAGCTAATATACGTGACACTTAATATGTCGTGTTCACATAGATGTTGATATTACAACCTACATTATACATATAGGAAAAAATTATATCAGATTATAGTTGTCCCGAAACCATTACTTTTCCCGAACTTTTGCCCGAAACAGTTTTCAGTATCGTCAACAGTTTTGAGGTTAGGTATTTTGAGATAAAAAAAATCGTTGTTACTGCTCAAAATGATCCTGCATACATACGTCCGTCATATCGCTGGAAAGCCATCCATTTTCCGAGGATAAATTTCAACGTGAGAATTCCGATCTGTTTTACGTAATGAAGAAGCGATTGTATCATGAAATGTCCGATTTTCAACGATCGAGCGAGCAAACATTTAGCAATATGTATTTCGTTTCCTTCGATTCCACTTAGGGATCGCCTCGTCCTCTTGCACGTGCGCAGATTCGAGGTTTACGATTCGTCGTCTTCGGACGAGAACTCTTCTTCGGTGTCGCGTTCGCTGCTACCGCAACTGGACGTGACGTCGTTGGACGAAGAATAGGTAGTGTCTGGAGTTGGTGGGAAAGACTCTCTTGAGACAGTTTTCTCCGTCGAGGACGACACGTCCGCGTTCTTGCAATCCGACGCATCCAGTCTCTGTTGTACGCACTTGTTCTCGGGATTATTCAGCACCGAGTGGATGAAGTCACGTGTCTCCGCGCTCAGTGCGTTCACCCTTTCTTGAAGGACGTTGTTCCGTCTCACCAGGGCCATTGTGCGCACCACGATGTCCAGAAGACCTGCAAGGTCGTGAGAACAAATTGAAATTGTTCGAGATCGTTGTCGTTATACAGCAATGCATGGTTAAACTTTAATAACTTTTTAACGAAGCCTCAATCAACAAATTGGTATTCTTGATTTTCGTCTTAATTTCGCCTCTAGAATCTCCCATTAAAATTTTAACCAGGGGTGGCCAAACACTCTGTATGTACACGATATACTATACAAACTGTGCGGTAATTTCATATATTTATTCATACAATAATTGTGATAATTTGTGGGAACAATAGTTTCGCAGATAATTTGATTTTTGACAAAACTTCTTCGACGGGATTCGTCATTGGAAAATGTGGTGGTAGAAAAAGTAGAGTATACGTTATCTGATCAACAAGGTCACGAACTTTGAAACAAAAGGATGAATTTGATTCGCGAAAGGGTGGATTTAATTAATAAACCGTTGAATTCAGAGTGTAAAACTTGTAAAATCGTAGGCTTGTTATGGCTGTTATTCATGTTTCACACCTTTCCGCCGCGCCAGAAACACTCTCCAGTGTCCTTCTATGTCCGCCGGGATTCGGGCAGAAACGTTCGGAGACGAAGAACTGACGATGGTTGGGATGCACGAGTCGTTGGGACATTCCGGTTCCCAAAGAGGACTTTCCGGCGGTGTTAAAGACGCATCTTCGCGTCGTGGCGCATTCATTTCTATTCTTCTCAGCTCGAATTTCTGTTGCTTCGCAATTGCTCCGCTGGATACTTTTTGTCGTCGACGGGAACACGGGATCGTCGGTTTTCTTACCACTGGCAGTTCCGACAGGCAAACGGTCGGAGCCATTTTCCGATGAGAACTCTGTAATCAGGAAGAGAACGTCGTATTTAGCGCCATATTTTTACAAAATTTAATGAAAAAAATCATGGGCCCGTTCAAGAAAACAATATCTTTTAATATATTTTTACTGTGTGTGTGTGTGTGTGTGTGAGAATGAATTACTGATTTTATTGTGAACGAACTGTAAAGATATTTAGAAGGCACTGAAAATAATTGGAGAGAGAAAAGATTGGTTACAAAGTGTTAGAATTTGTACTACGCGCCACTATCATCAAACGCGCCCTCACTTATGTATTTCTTTTCCTAACTCCAGTTTATTCCATACATATATTGTACAACCAATACGTTTTCCTATGTAGTTTATAATTAAGTAAATATAGTAGTTTTGTTCTACATCCTGATTCAACCTTTTCATGCACCTATCGAAACACAGGGAAAGACAATGGACATATTTTGACGACGAAGAAATGTGTGTTTAACAAAACCAGTTGTTATTATATTAAATATACAGAGTGTTCGGCCACCCCCAGGAAAAATTTTAATGGGAGATTCTAGAGGCCAATATAAGACGAAAATCAGAAATACCAATTTGTTGATCGAGGCTTCGTTAAAAAGTTATTAACGTTTAAAGTTTTGTCTGTAAAACGGCAATTTGCGAACAGCTGAACCTTCGCGAACGGTCTTAGATTTTGATGAAACTTTGTACACTTATAAAGCAGCCAAAAATAATCGACACGTACTTTTTTTTAACTGCGGTAACTCGAGTTTAAGGGATGAAACCACCCCTTGAAGTTTTGGCTAGAAACGGCTATCTCGAAAACGGAAAGACATGCGAAAAAATTGTTAATGGGCGAGGTTAATGGTTTCTTGTGTACAATAACATGGAGTTAAAAAATTTAACAAAATACAATTTGTTTATAGAAAAAAAAATTTATTAACTTAACTTTTCATTTTGTTGAAATTTTCATAATGACAAAAAATGACGAGCATTTTGTTCCAGATCCATTGGTATGTAATATTTTTAAATTACCTCTTACAGTTTTGCAGATTTTGATGATTTACATCTTGCGCGCGCATCCACTATGGTAGTAACCGTTTTAACTTTGATTTTAATGAAGCATTGTAGGGCTTGCACTAAATTATACAGTAACAAGTTTCTTAACAGCAATGAAAAGATTAATTGTTTTTATTGCCCACCTATGACATCGTGGCAAAGGTGGAGCGATTTATAAATTATAAATACATACAGTGTGTATAGCAATTATTCTATGTAGTTTCGACAATAGTGATACTCGTCGAAAAAATGTTTGAAACATAAAGATTTCTTACGCATCTTGGTTCATTTTCAACAGAATAGCAGTACTCAACAGGACCCTGGAATGCATTTGGTTTTTCATCTACATATACATACAAGTTATCAGCAACTGGGCTCGAGATGTTTAGATAAGAAAAAATGTAAAAACGTTGCAATTCAGCCAACTAATTCTTCGATTAAGAGATCAAGGTCAGTTCCCTAGAAAAATAGCCAAACAGCTGATAAATCACAATCAACTGTCCTACATATTATAAATAGATACATACATATAACTAAAAACTTTCGAAGACAGATCTCGATTAGGTCGACCAAGAAACTTGGAATCTATTCATAGCAGACCGAGTTTAAAAAGTGTTTGTGAAAATACAAAAACAAAAAAAATGCAATATTAATAAAATGAAATTCAATTGATTCTGAAACAACAAAAGAACTAGTTCAAGAAATGAAAAAAAGAATGTTAGAAATTACAAATAGGTAAGTGGTAATACTAGTTATTAAAAATAAAATAGAAACTAAACTATTTATCATTAATAAATAGGTTAATGGATAGATAATAATTATCTTGTACGGTTTTTTGTCTCCTCCATCTTATACGATTTCATTTTTCTTTCTAATACTATAGAGTAAAAACATTATATCAATTCTTTTAATCTTAATTGTTCTACTAATTGTATATGCAGATCGATGTTTCTCAAAATGGAATCTACGAGTGTTTTACATTCACTAGAACTAAAGAATTCGTTCCTTAGACATTTCCTCGTATCGTTAAAAATGACGGAGATATCGTTTTGTAACCGAGACACTCTGTACACCCGGCCACATTAATTCGTTCCAGCTTCAAGGGGAAGTCACTAACGTCCGACAACTCGAAACGTTCCGTGATGGGGATAGAGAAGTGGAGGATCTCTAAGGGGAAGCCGACATCAGTGACTTTCTTTTGATGTGGAAACGAATTAATGCGGCCAGGTGTTCTTTAAAAAACTACAAAGAATACAAAATTGATTTTTCTTATTTGAAATTACCGAACAGTCCCCTAAAGAGTGTCGGTCATTCCAATTTTGATTTCCTAAAAGTAGGCTACTTTGTGGTCTCATTTTTATAAAAACTATTGGATATGTAACTTTCAAATGTTTAGTATTAGGTGTACAAATGAATAATCCAATTTTTTTAGCCACATACAATGTTTATTTTAACTTTAAGCCATCTTTCAGGCAGCTGATGAATTCCATCTCCATTTTCGGGTCTCATCCACTGATTAGAAGTGCATATCGGATAAGGCGTGTTGCATAGGCCGGAACAGATGATAATCAGATGGAGCAATGTCTGGTGAATGCGCCGGGTGCTGCAAGACATCCCAGCCAAGACTCATTATGGTGTCTTTTGTATGGAAAGCAATATGTGGCCTGGCGTTTTCGTGCAACAATTTCACTGGACGTCCTCCTTTGCTAATATACGAACGTTTTCGTTCCAATGCTTGACTCAAGCAGATTAATTGACGTTGATAGCAGTCCACAGTAACTGTTTCACCCGGTTCCAACAACTCATAATAAACCACGCCCTTGATATCCCACCAAATGCAGAGAAGAACCTTCTTTCCGAATTGGGGTTTGCAACCGATATTGATGCTCCGCCGGGATTTACCCATGACTTTCTGCGTTTCAGATTGTCATAGAGTATCCACTTCTCATCGCCTGTAATGATTTTCCACAAGAAAGACTACCTGCGCTGCTTATTGAGCACATTGCCACTCGTTGACTTTTGTTGGTTGCAGTGAGTTCATGCGGAACCCATTTTCCTTCGTTCTGGATCTTTCCTATCTCACGTAGACGTTTGGAAATCGTTTGCTGGGTTACTCCTAACTGTTTTACAAGTTCTTTTTGCGTTTGTGCCGCATTCTCAGCGTGCAATTGTTCCAAATCATCGTTGCCGCACTTCCGAGGGCCTCCAAGGCGTTGTTTGTCGATTAGACTCAAATCACCGCATTTAAACCGCATAAACCAAAATGTGCACACATCATACGATGAGACCATCATGATCAGAGAAAGGAACAAATCGATTCGCTTGCTCTTGCAGCATTTTTACCTTGTTGGAATTCGTAAAGAATGCAGTGTCGGATATGCACCTTATCTGTTGCCATTTTCGACTCTACTGAATTGAATATGTTGTGTTTTCTGGATGAGGTAGCCACAAAATACGCACTTTTATAATATGAATATAAAGGTATATTTAAACTCAAAACACAATTAATCATTCAATTTACAACCGACAAGACATAACCTAATATAGTTGCTATGATGCTAACCGCCATATACCATAATGCTGGGCTCTACTCTCCCCCCCAGGCGTTGCCAGATTCTTGGCAGTGTTGCCAACAGAATACTTTTGAAAGTTATGTTGGTCCTTTCCAGAGATGCCAGAAAAGCACCGCCGGGTGCACACGCACCCATGCCAGATACGCGTACGTGAGCTCGTGGAGTTTCGGAAAGTCGACAAAGGCAAACTGACGCATGCCCTCTTTCTCGATTCTCCGAAGCTGCCCGAAGTAATTTCGGATCGCCTCGTGGGAGTCGAGAGAGAAAGGCTCACATTTGCCTTCGCGCTCTAAACAACTGAAATCCGACCCGACCTCCCGTCAACGGCATACGATTTGGATTCTCGAGCCGAGATTCTCGACTGCCCAGGCATTTTTACTTTCCGACCTATGTAGGCGCACATAAGCAAAGTACCCATAATGAAAAAAAAATTTTGTAAAATTTATTTTACGGAAATACACGTTTTAAGACCTCCTGATCATATTTTAATTATTGAAAAAAAAGAAATTTTTTTTTATTCCCATGTATGAGCACACATATGTATATTATTAATACGATTGAATATAAATAGCTGAATGAATTTAAATGAAACTTTACATTTAAGTTTTATGTTCTCATTTCAAAGGCGTGTGGACGGATTCAAATACGTGAACACTAAACGTAACGATGTAATTATATTATTTAATATTTACTAACTATTTAACATAAAGAACATAAAAGAAAGACATAAAACGTAAACGTAAAAGATCATAAACGTAAAACTGTGATTGCTCTCGACTAACGTTCGATACAGAGTGACGTTCCTGCAGTCAAAGTCGACCCTTCCTTATTCCTATCTTATAATAATGATCTAAACAAAACGCATGTTCGAGACGCAGTCTCTAAAACGTATTTCAGCTTAAACCTAAACACCTCACTCGATACCTACTCTAGCTTAGACTAAACACTCCTATCGACGCAAACGATAACGGTTCTCCTAGCCACACACATACACTCCTTACAGATTATACCTCTTGTTTCATAGTTGTTCCGATATATAGACATAATGTATAAAAAATTTTTTAAATGTTTCATATAAATCTTAGGACGAATTAAATTTCATATAAAAAAAATTATATAAACTTTTTCTCTATCTTCTCTAGAAAAGAAAACATTAAATGAAATCTTATACATTACATGCTCACTTAAATCGCATTGAAAACGAATACCACAAATGTTTTAGAATAATGTGCAAAATGTGATTGCGATTTTCGCTAAGACAAATTGAAAACTCGTTTCTAACAAGGAAAAGTTGGAATGGTACCAGGTTTTGGGTTAGGTTTTACTTTGAGATATTATTAAAGTTATTACAGGTACTTATTTTCAGAAATAGTACTATGTTCACCACTAATCAGCGTGGCGTGAGTGATGAGGTCTTTGCCTGCAAGTTCCGAACTTCTTCTGCTCTGCTGGTTCGAACCCTGCTTGAACTTTTTTTTTTTATTTTTTCAATCATACTTTAAGCGTACACTAAATATGACATTATATTTTTGTCTGACCTTCGAATATTTTTTTTTAAAGTTAAATTTAACCGATTACATTTAACATATGTTATTTTCAATGTACGAAGTACATGAATCTGGATGGTACTTTTCACAAAAACAGTCAAAACATAAAAATTTCAAGCACCACGTACATTTACTGAAAGTTTTTTTTTTTTTTTTTTTTTTATTTATTTGTTTAAAGTCGCATCAACCGCTAAGGGTTATTAGCGACTCGGAGAATACATTTTTAGAGTTTGTTGTACAATTTGGTAATTTTGAGGTACTGTAATAGATTTTGGGTCGATGTGTTGTCCTTCAGATTGTCCTTTAGGGTTGGTTTTATGTTGAGCCGTTGCCTGATTGGAATATATTTTCTGCAGTGGATGATGATGTGTTCTATTGTTAGGAGGTCTTTGCATGTTTCGCATATTGGTGGGCCTGTTTTTTGGAGGAGGTGTTGATGGGTCAGTTTGGTGTGGCCTATAATGATTCGTGATACTCTCACTTGGTCTGGTCTGGGTAATTTCCAGGTAATGGATTTTTCATAGAAGTCATTTTTGATTAATTTTGTACGGGATTTGGTTGATGTGCTCCACTCTTTGTTCCAACAGTTTTTACTTTTTTCTTTGAGAATGGAGAGTAACGTTTCCAGGTGAGTGCCGTTGTCGTGGTGGTTGGGGGTGGATGAGTTGGCTGCTTCTTTAGCTGCACGGTCCGCTTTTTCGTTGCCGGTTATGTCAATGTGGGAAGGAATCCATATTACTGTTATTGAGTTGTTCTTTTGGCTCGATCTGGTGTAGGCTTCTTGACATTCTTGGATGACAGGGTTGCTTGTCCATAGTTTTTGTGTTGCTGAGATGGCGCTTGTGGAGTCACAGAAAATTGCAAAATTTGTATTTTGGTCGGTTAAAGTTGATTTGATGGCGTGTTTAATTGCTTGAAGTTCGCATAGGAAGATAGGTGTTTTGTGATGGAGTTTAACTTTTTCGGTTGACTGGTTCCTGACAATTGCGTATCCGGATCCGAATGGTGTCTTGGACCCGTCTGTGTATATATGCACGCGGTTTGCGAGTCCCGCTTCCAATTCTTGGAACATAGCCTTTAGCATGATTGGATCAGATTTCTTTTGACTGTAGTTCAGTAGAGAGGTGTTAGTGCTAATTCTTGGAAAGGTCCACGGAGGGATGCTGGGGATGGATCTGCTCGATGTGAGCTGGATTTCCATGCCAAGCTCCTTCAGATAATTACTGATTCTGTAGCAGAGTGGATGGGGTGTTCTTTTCCTTTGTTGCAAGTAGTTTAGGTTGTTTTTTCTGAATACATTATGGAAGACTGGGTTCTGTGGGTGGGAGGCAATTCTGACTGCAAATTTGATACTTAGGTATTTTCTTCTAATTCGTAATGGAGGTTCTGAAGCTTCACTAAGGATGCCGTTGATCGGGCTAGTGCGGAAGGCGCCCACTGTTATTCTGAGAGCATTGTTGTGTACAGGGTCTAATTTCTTTACTATGTTGGTGTTGGCTGAGTTGTATATGATTGATCCATAGTCCAGTTTTGATCTCACTATTGCCTTATACGTTAGGAGTAGGGTTTTGAGGTCGGCTCCCCAGTTATTTGCAGCTATTGTTCTAAGTATGTTTAGTCGTTGGTAGCTATCAGTTTTGAGTTTATTAATATGAGGTGTCCATGTTAACTGAGAGTCAAATGTTAATCCTAATAGTTTGATAGAGGATGTTTCCTTGATTATCAAATTATCGAGAGTTAGTTTTATGTTCGCATATTGTTTCTTTCTGCTGAAGGTAATTATTTTAGACTTGGTGGAAGAAAATTTGAACCCTGACGTGAGTGACCATTTCTGCAATTTATCTAGTGCTTCTTGTAGTTGGGTCTGGGTAGTATGAAGGTTCCTTCCTTTGCATACTAGGGTTAAGTCGTCAGCAAATAAAAGTCCTTTGACCGGGACTGGTATGTTGTCCAGTATGTCATTTATAGCGATTAGGAATAGCGAAACACTTAAGACGGAGCCTTGAGGTACTCCGTTTTCTAGAATTTTTGTAGTGGATAGGACGTTGTTGGCTCTAACTTGGATAGTTCTTATAGATAGAAAGTTACTGATAAAATTAAGGATGTTTCCACAAAGGCCAAAATTCTGGAGAATTCTTCGGATTCGGTTTCTCCAGACCATGTCATACGCTTTTTCTATATCTAAGCAAACAGCTGTTGCATACTGGTTATTAGCAAACGCGTCGCATACATTCATTTCCAGGTTTATTAGGTGGTCATATGTGGAGTGAAATTGTCGAAAGCCACTTTGTTGTTTAGCGATGAGGTGCCTTGATTCTAAGTACCATCGGAGTCTATAGTTTATAATTTTTTCCATTAATTTACACATTGTGTTTGTTAGAGCAATCGGTCGATAACTGTTGGGGTCCGTTGGAGTTTTGCCTGGTTTCAAGACTGGGATGACAACCGCTTCTCTCCATTTGGTTGGGAAGATGTTGTGGGACCAAATGCAGTTGAATATTGCAAGTATGTAGTTAAGCGCCTCTTGTGGAAGATGGGTAAGGAAGATGTTGGGTATTCCATCGGGTCCGGGACTAGTATTCGAGCATTTGTTTAGGAAGTATAGCAGTTCATCAAATTGGATAGGAGAATTTAGGTTGGAGGAGTAAGGTGTTTCTTGGACTATGATTGGAGGCTTCGACGCGTTAGAATCAGTTTTCTGTTTGTAGATCTGAAACTGTTTTGAATAGTTGCAGTCACTGGAGTTTTTCTGGAAAGTCGTTACCAGGATTTCGGATATTTCGTTTGGGTCGGTGGAGATAGAGTTGTCTTCCTTATTTAAGGCTGGCATTGAGGAGTGTTGGTTTGAACCTTTGATAGCTCTTATCTTTTTCCAAATTGCTGAGGGAGGGGTATGTGGATTAAGAGTTGAGGTATAGTTTATCCATGATCGTCTCTTACTGTCCTTTGTGATCTTACGGGATACGGCTCGGTATTTCTTGAAGTTGATAAGGTTTTCTGCGGTTTTGTGTTTTTTGTACCGGTTGAAAGCATGTTTGCAGTCTTTCACAGCTTGTGAGCATTCTTCATTCCACCATGGATTATATTTGATGTTGGCGTTGGTGTTGTTTTTTGTCTTCGGGATGGCTGCACTGGCTGCTGCGATGATGGCTTCTGAGAAGTGTTCGAGTGCTAAGTTCAAGTTTGTTGGATTTATTTCTATGAGCAGGGAAGATGAGTCCAATATGACTTTCCGAAACATATCCCAATCAGCTTTCTGAAATTTCCATCTTGGGGCTTTATTAGTTTCAGTGATTCGGTTTAGTTTGCATGTCACCATTATAGGGAAGTGGTCACTGTCGTATAGGTCTTGTACTGTGTTCCATGTAATGTCTTGAGTGATTGTTGGACTGCATAGGGATAGGTCAATTGAACTGAACCGACCGGATGCCGAACAGAAGTGAGTGGGTTCGTTAGTGTTTAGTAAGCTGAGGTTTGCTGAGTTTATTATTTTTTCCATGGAATTTCCTCGCGAATCGGTCTTATGAGATCCCCAGAGGATATTGTGGCTATTAAAGTCGCCAAGTATAATGAAAGGTTTTGGAATTTGGTTTATTAGATGAGTGAGTTCGGATTCATCTAAGTGATGGCTGTTCGGTAGGTATATGTATATTGCATATGTACAGATCTTTAGGGCATGTTACTTTAGTGATGATAACTTCTAGATTGGATGTGACTGTTATTTCTTGGCTGTGGATGTTATTTCTGACAAAGGTGGCGACTCCTCCACTTGCGTGGGCAGTGTTGCGATTTTTGAAATATGTTTTATAGTGAGGGGGCTGGAGGTTCAAGTGACAAACCTCAATCTACCCCAACAATTATTAAAGTGTTTATTTCGCGGGTGTCGGGGGTGTAGCCACACGTAGGTCAAAGTTAATAACACTGGCTTCGCAAACGCGCGACGTCTTAGCCAGACTGAGGTCTAAAATAGACTGGGGGTCTTTCTTTTCACGTCCCCTGAATATATACAATTTCTTACCCTAATAGCAAAGGTAGAGAAAAAGAGACAGGACAGAAAGACGGAAAAACGAAACTGGAAAATACTCAGTATAGGAAAAGTTTAGCGAAAGCGAGTCATAAAAGTCAAGAGGCTCGCCGGGCCCGGATCAGGGTGGTCCGAGGCCCAGGCGAAACCTTGAGGGAAAACAGACGCCTCGCACGGCTCTGGTCGCCAAGTGTTTAACAGGACGACCAGGCTCGCACGAGACCCTGGGAAAATGGAAAAATAGAAAGCTTAAAACTATCCTTACATTCCATTCCCATTCATACTCTGGCAAGGGCGTAGTGGCTATACAATGGCCGCTACAATAGTTTTTGATTTTACCTGAATTATGGTTTTTGAAGTTAGTTTCTTGTAGGCAGATTATTTGTGGCTGAAATTCTTCGACTAGTAGTTGGAGGTGCTCGAGTCGGCTGTAGAAACCATTCAAGTTCCATTGGATAATTTGTAGTGACATAATGGATGTTTGGTTGGTGTCTTGGGTTTATAGGGGTTTTGGATCTGGGGAGGATGAGTTCCCCTCTTTCGAGAGGATGGTTTGTAGTGAGATTGCTGTTGCTAATTCTGTTTCTAGTTTTTTGATTAATCGGTGTAGTCTGTTTTTCATTCTTTGGTCTTGCATTAGGGGGTAGATTAGGTAAAGCATATGTATTAATGCTTTCTTGTCAGAAGTGTAGTCGTTCGCGATAATGTTTGGGTTTTCTGTGCCGATAGCATTTTCCAGGAAACTTTTCAGTTGAGAATAGTTAAGGATAAGATGGTTTGAGGGGTCATCCAGAGCTGTTTTTGCTGGTTTTAGAATGTCGTCTATTTGTTCGATGATTCTTGTTAGTGATTGGCTGCGTTTGGGTTTCTTTTTCATAGTGGTGGGTGCAGGTTTATCGTTTGAATTAGAGTCGTTAACACGTGGTCTTACGGGTGTTGAGATGGGCTTGTTTGTTGTCTGTTGGTCTTCTTCTGAGGTGTCTGATAGTGGTCTCTTTTTTAATTGAGCTTGAGGGTTTGCAATGGCAAGTATTTGGTTATTGTCTGCGCTGGAGTTAGCCGTAGTGGGGTTGGCTGGAATGTTGACATTGGGATCTTTTCCTGTCTCGCTGATTTCGGTTGTGGTTGGATTTTCGTTTGTGTAGTCTATGTTATATTGTGAGTTATTGACGCTTGACGTTGGTTCCGTATCGTTTAGTGTTAGGTTATTTCTCGTTTCCTTGTTGGCTGATGTGTTTGATATTGGTGTCTCGGTTTGAGTATTGCATTGGTTTGCAATATGCCCTTCTTGTTTGCACAAAAAACAGGTAACTTTGTCAGTAGATACAAAAATTCTGTATTGTGTGTCGTCGTACGTGATTAGAAACGATTCGGGGAGTTTATGGACATCATCTGGGTTTATATAAATTTGTCTTCTGAAGCTCATTATGTGGGAAAGACCGGGGTCTTGTAGTCCCGCTCTGAGGAAGGATAGTTTCGAGGTCAGTTTGATGTTATGGATTGTTAGTACTTTTTCGATATAGTCATGTGGTATGGTAGGAGAAACGTTGGACAAAATAATTCGTTGTGATGGATTTATTAGGGGTCTGATTGGGGTGAATGTATTGTTGATGGGCAGTGATTTGAAATTGGAAACGAGGGCTTTTGTTGTTGCTTTACTATCGAGGTAAACACAGATTCTGTTGTTTGATATGCGGGAGATAAATCGTATGGCGTTGGGTCCAGTGATTTTTGCTACAGCTTGTGCATATTCTTTGATAGTAGTTTAGCATACGATTTTGTAGGCTGAACTGTTGTATTGGTTTGGGTATGGCTCGTTATATTTTCAAATTCCATGACTTCCATGACGGGTCTTCTGTATTTAGAAGGCTCACCGATAGCACTAACGTTGTTGTGTAGTGATCCGCGCACCGACACGGCACAGTAGGCTGAATTATAAACACAGGAACTCGCGAGCGATTGTCAACACGTCTGATCGGTTTGACTGCCCGAGAACGAATCGAGAAAGTTTTGTTTTCACAGAAATTACAAAATTTTGTATTTAACTCTGATAGAAAGGCCGCTTCATTTACATTGATAAAATGTGAACGATTTTCGGATAGTCGTACCTTGTAGCTCGTACTTTTTACCTTATACTTCAGGTAAAAAGGGATATAGCTGGGAAAAACAGTTTTATGACATTACCTGCTAACTTATGTTACTGTTCTACAATGAAACGCTATGTTTTGTACCTTTAAAAATATTCGACTATGTGCTTTTAAAATTTAAGATACAACCCATACTTTGTATTAAACTGGCAAACGGGATCACTTTTCCTTTGTTTCTAGTTAGTTCTATTTAGTTCGTCATAACCAATTGATACGGTTATTTCAAAACAATCGAGGAAAATCATTATTAATTAATTTCTGCAATTATTAATTCTACTGTTTTGTTTATGTTATAAAGTAAGAACTCTTCTTATTGAAAAATACCACAGCGTGCACAATACTGGTAAAGAGTGGAATCTCATTTTAATTTATTAATTTTCAATCTTAAAGTATTTTGATTTTCAAAAATCGTATTAATAATATACACATGTGTGCTCATACATGGGAATAAAAAAAAATTTCTTTTTTTTCAATAATTAAAATGTGGCGGCCAAGGCACCACATACGCCTTAGTCGTTCGAAGCCGCTACAATGTATGGTTGCACACGAGACGATGGTTGCACACGAGACGACCAGAGCCGCGTGAGTCGAAAAGCCGTTGTCGTCGTCTCTGACCGTCTTTTGTTTTTGAAGGCCTCTTGGTACGGTGGTGATGATCGTACCAGGGAGTCGAGCGTAACCCGCACCACGAGTCACGTCGTTGTACGACAGCAACAATAAAATTGTGCGGAACGGAACAGGGCGGAGTCATTACCTTCCCGATCCCACAAAAATATGATCAGGAGGTCCTAAAACGTGTATTTCCGTAAAATAAATTTTACAAAATTTTTTTTTCATTATGGGTACTTTGCTTATGTGCGCCTACATAGGTCGGAAAGTAAAAATGCCTGGGCAGTCGAGAATCTCGGCTCGAGAATCCAAATCGTATGCCGTTGACGGGAGGTCGGATTTCAGTTGTTTAGAGCGAGAAGGCAAATGTGAGCCTTTCTCTCTCGACTCCCACGAGGCGATCCGAAATTACTTCTGGCAGCTTCGGAGAATCGAGAAAGAGAGCATGCGTCAGTTTGCCTTTGTCGACTTTCCGAAACTCCACGAGCTCACGTACGCGTATCTGGCATGTGTGCGTGTGCACCCGGCGGTGCTTTTCTGGCATCTCTGGTCCTTTCGCTAAATTGTCTTTTGTTTTAACTAACTATATGTCAACACTATATGACCGCAAAAGCGCGGGAAAATCTACTGACTTTAAACTTGATTTTATAACTGCTTAATACAATTTGGATTATTCATTTGTACACTTAATATTATATTAAAACGCGTCGTTATTATGTGTACAAGCAGTCGCAGCGATAACCCTCCGATACATGCATCATATGTACAGTGAACACCATAAGTATCCGTACCCTTATTGCTTATGGGAGGAATTTGTTAAAATCAAATCAAGAGTTTGCAATAAACTTCTTGCTATCAATGAATATATGTAACTCAATCAACAAATTGGCATTCTTGATTTTCGTCTTATTTTCACCTCCAGAATCTCCCATTAAAATTTTTCCCAAGAGTGGCCGAATACCGTGTATTGAAAAAAAAATTTCAAATAAAGAATAATTTAGGTAAGTGAATATCGGTAAAAATTATATTGATTCAACGCCCACAGGATAAATTAGACCATAAATTACAAAATTTCTACTTTAACACGTTGACTGCCAGACCAAACCCCTCAAATTAAAAAGAAAATTAAATTTTGTTTTTAGACAATTGGAAACTAGCATACCAAGAATTTGGCATGGAATTTATTTTCACAGACTCGTTAAAATTCAAGGGCTCCACCTAGCTTTATGTTCTTTTACATCTAATCTTGAGAATTAATTTTTTTAACTGCTTGGTGTAAAGTCGTGTCACCCATATGTGGGTGACGTGGCATTCAATGTGTTAAATGTTATATTCCTCCTTTTGTATTAGTCACTAAAGTTCTGGTGACTATGTGGCCGACTTATGTATTTCGGGTAAAACAGTTAAGCGGTTAATACACTTTTTGTGGAAATTAATTGGTTTAGTTTCAAAAACTAAAAC